TTCTGGGATCAACCATCTGAAGGTGATTCTGTTTTCCTTCAATAGGTCTGTCAAGCTGTTATAATTAAATCTTTTTTCCCTGACTCTCCAGGGCACCTCTTTAAGTATCCTGATCTCCTTTTCATTTATGACTACTTTATTTTCATTTGCCGCTTTCAGTATTTTGTTTCTGGTTTCTTTTTGGTAGAATTTAATGTGAACCTCCCTGGGTAGTTTTTTTCTTTTAGCGTATGCTGAGTTTCTCCTAAACACAGTTTCAATGTCTCTGTAAATATCCTCTTTTGTATCAATGTTTAGTTGTTCTGCAAAGGATCCTGCTATGACTTCTTTTAGACTGTCTTCTATTTCTTCTGGAATGTTCTGGCATCTAATTATAAATCCTGCCCTTTCCATTTCGAAATTTATCACAGTTTCTTCTAGCTTCTCATTTTTACTTTCATTTCTTGCATTTCCACGTCCAGCATTTGTGTTTTTTCTACCAACTTATTTGAGGTTTTTGCAATTTTAGAAATTTCTTTTTTATTTTCAAACATTTGTTTTTTAATTTCCTTCGTTTCTGTTTTAATTTGGTTAGCAATCTCCTCCATTCTATCACTTATGGGGGCTATCTCCTTCTTAATTAAATTTGGTAGGGTAACTTCCATGTTCTGATGGAACATTTCTGCCAAACTTTCTTGTATATATTGTTTTAGTTCTTTCATTGATTGTTGAGAGATATTAGCTTTTAGTTGGGATGTGTTTCCTGCCTGCCCTGGAGAGGGTATGGACCCTTTTCTATTACCTCCTGCACCTGTTGCCATTTTTTACAATATTTACTAAATTTGCTAAATTGCTGTATTTTCACTTGGTTATTTATTTCACTTGGTTATTTTTAAGTGTCTTTAATGTTTTTTTAATGTCTTCTAATATTTGAATGTCCTCTGTATTCTTCCTTTGCCTCACTCTTGGATTGTTAGGGTTTTTTTTTTTAATGTCTCTTAATTTTTTGAGTATCTTCTATATTCTTCCTCTACTTCACTCTTAAGTTGTTGGTTTTTTGGGCAGGTTCCCTTTACCCTTCCCTCTCTTTTTAACCACACTTGGGTGTTATTCTGCATTTAAGGGTCTCTACTTTAGTTTGGGTTTGTATGTATATTAGCTTGTATGTATATATTTAATGTCACTTTAATAACACTTTATTCTAATTTTCGTTATTGTCTCTTATTTCCTTTTCCACTCCTAGCTCGTGTCTTCCTCTTTACAATTTATTTCTGGTTCTTTAACTCAGTGAGCTATTGACTTTATTCTTGTCTTTATGCGCCAAAAAACAAACGTCTTATTTTTCTCTTTAACTTCCGGGTTTCACGTCTCCCCTCCACGCCTTCTGCGTCTGCGTCAGCGTCTTTCCAGTCTTCCGCTGCTTTCTTTCCCTCATTCGGCCATCCCTCCGCTCCTCGCTCCTCCTCCGAAACCGCCTCTGCTTTCCTCTGCCCCGCCTCCTTCTCCGCGCCTCTCAATGACGTCACCGCACCTCCGCTCTTC